GCATTGGCACAGTGGTGCTAAATGTGAGTTCATGCCAGTGTGGCACTGTTTAGATGCTGCCAGATCCTTTTGGGTTTAGGTGTGTGCATGGTCGTTTTGACTCAACTGTGTAGCTAAGCAAGCTCGGGTTCTAGCCACCACTCCTGCCAGGGTTATATCTTGCAGACAATACCAGTGTGTCTTAAACCCGTACACAAACCCCCTTCTAGAGGGTTGTGGGGAAGGAACAGCAACTCAGTGCTCCCATTGATAACTGTGTGACTGCCACGTGCCCTCCAGCTGAAATAATTAACAAGCTCATGGTTTGGGCAGGCAATAACTAATAGTAAATAATGACCCTTTTGTTGGTTATTGAGCCGAGCCATCAATAGTAAATGCAGATTTACAATGCAGCTTTAAGGAAAGCAAGACTGTCTCGGGTCAGTGTTTCTGTCTTTCTGCTCTTGGGGCCATTTGTGAGTTGGCACAACTCTTTCCTGGGATGGGTATCTCACAGCAGCGACTCCAGGGCCCTGCTTCACACCATGCTCACCCAGAGTGCAAGCAAAGGTGCAAGAGAGCCAGTGGCAAGGAATTACATTCTGGGGGCCATGCTGGGGGCTTGTGAGTCTTATCTCAGAGATCCCCCTCATGTAGCTGGGGGCTGAAGGCCCTGTTAAGAGACAAGAGAGGTCTGTGGAGACCCCCAGGAGTTGGTTTGTGACTGTTAAACTTAATTTACTTCTTTACCATCAGTGTATTCTGCATACCCAAGGCCAGTGTCCTGCCAAGCAGCTGCTGGTGGCTCATGGGTACAGCTCCTCTCCCCGCAGCTCCCCAGGCAGATGATACCTGTCCAGGGCCATGCTGGGCAGGCGGGAATGGCTATTCTCTTTGTGTTAGTGCCTCGTGTCCTGTTACAGCGCTGAAGCCTTTCTTGGGTTACAGGGGGTGTGCAGTGTCAAGTGATTGTGCCTCACAGGCTAACGCTGTTCAATACCACGTTACTCCAGCCTAAACCATGCTACAGGTTCCAAAATGCCTTTTCCAGCCCTTTACCCCAACACTTTTTGTTTTTTCCCAGAAATTAGTGTATCAAGGATGGGGATAGGGAGGTTGGCGTCCACTGGCTGCGTCTCACGGATTTGGATGCCAGATGAGTGCTGCCCTCCTGCCAGGCTGGTGTCTTGCACCTCTGTGATGCCCCTTCACATCCCACTCCTCTGCTCTGCAGCCCTTCTGGGGGGGACAGCCTGGTTTCGTATCTGCTGGGCACTTCTGTGCCCCAGCATTTGAAGTGAGAGGCAAAGACACTCAGGGAGTTGGCCAGGGGTGCTGGAAGGTGGCTGAGCACTGCAGGGACAGACATGGTACCAAACAGAAATGGGCTGCTCTGATCACTGCTTCAGAGACTTTTCCTTCCTACAGCCCCATGAGAAATTCACTGTAATCATCAAACTGCCCGTGACTCTATGCAGCTGCCTAATAGGTCCCAAGAGACAGCGCTGGCTGATCCATCATGAAAGGGGCTTAGATGAACGCCTGCAGAACTCTACCTCGGTGTCACCACAGAGAGAGGTGGCAGAAGCCTGGTGTGGGAAGCACTATGCAGAAACACTTCCTTCCAGCCCTTCCCTTGCCTTCTGCCAGAGCCACACTGGTTTCCCCCCCTCCAGGCTTTCATCTGGGTTCAGAACAGCCGCCAGTAAGCGGAGAAGCAGCTTTACTTATTTATGGTATGCATTAACATTTATTCAGCTGGTTGCTGTGCATTGAGTAAGGTGGCAACTTGATAGGTGCCAGCCATTCCCCCTCCTGCCAGTGGAGCCAGGACTTGCTCTGTGCAGGCAGCCACAGACTCTTCCAGAATGTGGAGCTGAGCAAATGTGATGCTGTTTTTCTAAGGGGGGAGGAAAGGATGAGTATCCTGCTCCCATGGCAGCCAGGAAGCTCCACCAAGAACATCTGAGCACTCAGAACAGCTCTGATCAGCTCTGGTAGGGATAGAGTCAGGGGCAGATATCTCAGGGGTTTAAGTTTTATTACAGGATTCCCTGGAGACTTTGGTTATCTCTCTACACCCCCTCTGTGCTCACCACGGTGAAGAAGACACGGTGGCATGCCATGTACTTGATGATCAAGGCAATTGCAGCAGGCCAAGGGTGTCACCAGAGCAGCCACCTTCCCCACCCTTCACCAGCTGCAAGCTGTGTCCTGTGCAGACCTCCGTGGCCCTGTGAGTTTCACGCTATGTCCTTGAACCCCCAGAGCAGATCCCCCACTTCTGCCATCCAGCTGGCTTTCTGTGCACAGCCTGCCACTGCTGCTTCAGCCTCACCACAATGCTTTTAAATATCACTCACCAGGGTCTCACCTGAAGTGGCTTTAATATTGCCAGTAAGTCCCTGCTGATACTGGGGACACCCTGGCCCTCAAATAGCCGTCGTGTCCCTGCAGTTGGCACTCCTGTCATGTTAGGCCAGTAACGAAGGCTGAGGCTGGGTTAGCATTTAGAGCCCAATTACCTGAGCTAATGGTTCAGCACATTCCCTCCTTCTTCCCATACCTGCTTTGTGATGAGAGGCACTCAACTGTAGAAAAAACAACTTAAGAAAGTTAAAACCAAGGCCTCATTCACCTAGGAGTAATATTTAGACATCTGTGTGGATTGGAGCATCTGCGTATATTACCCAGACAGCTTTAAATGCAGTAGATGTCTGTGTGCTGTGAATTTGGGAGTTGTTGCATTCATTTCTTTGGAGGCCTAGCAGTGTACACAGGCTGAGGGACCAGCCTGATTATACTGGAGAAAAATGGAAGTATGAAAAGTCTTGTAAGCTCTGAACATCCCTTAGCAGCATCGTAATCACATAATCAAGGCCAGCTCAGCTTGATGTGATTGGTTTCATTATGAAATATAATTCTCTCTGGAATTTTAGTTCTTGCCTGCCCTTCACCCCTAAATGTGCCAGCTCACAGCAGAAATTAATGTTGGGGGAGGGAGGATCCGAAGTGCAAAGGGGACCCAGACATTTAAATATTGGTTTAACACTTGCTGAGTGTCCTTTGATAAAGGCGTGCTGAATTAGCAGGGTGGGTTTCAAGTCCTGCCAAGCACAAACCCTGTGGATGTACTTGTGCAGTGCTGGGCTGAGCTGGCCAACAGCCACCGACTTACGCAGTAAATGACTGAAGGCCTCGTACTGCGCTCCAGAGGTGGCAGGGAAATAACAGGCAGCTGATTTACTCCTCTTGAGGATTTGGCCCGTGGACTTCTGGTCTTCTTTTAAAGTTTGCTGGCATTTGGCCAGAGAGGTCCCATCCCTGGTGAAATTTGCTTTTGGGGTGTGTCCAGGCAAAAAAATTTAAAAGATGGAACTTGGTGTTGAAAAATACTTATTTGAGAAACTGTGTTTGTTTTAAAGGCAGTTTGTCAGCCTCTCCCTTTGCCAGCTTTTGTGGCAGAGACATTGCGGGGTGGTCCCTGCTCACCATGCCGAGGCACCAGCTCAGCCTTGCATGCACAATTAAATCCCACCCTGAAACCCTGACAGTTCAGAGCCCTGGGCTGCCACCACCCACGGGTGCTAACCTGGGCACATGCCAGTGCCGTGGTTCTAACACAGCTGTCAGCTCTGGTTTCATTTTCACAAATCTCTGTATGGCTATTTACTTTGCAACTATAATCTTTCTGCCCCGATCAGATTTGCAAGAGCTTTTGGTGCACAGCAAGAGAAATGATGCTGTTAGAGGTAGGAGGAGCTCATCTGAACTAGCAGTCCTGTGTGCAAAGTGGAGCAGCACCCAAACATTTCCATGCCTCATCCTCTTACTTCTTTCTGGGCCTATCATGTGTCCTTTCATCTCCAGAAAAATGACTGACAGAGTCCAAACCACATGCCCATCATGGAGCATCCATGCCACAAATAACCCCTGCCAGTAACACCAAATTTCTGTTCTACCTTTATTCCCATGTTTCACTTAGTAGCTAACTGAAGTTAACAATGACTTTATTTAGCACTTCATCCACTAAGTACAGCTTCCGCCTTCCCACCAGTGACCACTTCACTCCAGACAAGAGAGGTCACTTGTGGGACACTGCTCCAAGCCACTTCACACTGATAAACCTCCAGCCAAAACCATTCAGCAACCAAAGTCACTTCCCAGTGACAAATAAACCACCCTCACCTTGGAGCTGCAAAGGGGGGTTTCTGATCAAAGCTCTCCAACAAGGGACACAGCCTGTTTGTACCAAATGAGAGCATCAACTGAGCAAATTGACAGCTCTCAGGTGGGACACTCGGCAGGCTCGGACTCCCCAAAAGCTGCTAGTGTTCCCCCAGACAAACCCCCATCTTCTTATCCAGGGAGTGACTGAGGGAGGTGACTCCTTACAGGACTTTCTGCTTGTTCTGCCCACCTTATGGGCCAAGTTTTCACCTGGGATACATTAAGAGAGCTGCTAAGATCAGGAAAAACTGTTATTGATACCTAAATGTTCTCCACAGCTCTTCACCCAGTGACTCCCTGGCTCCTTTGGAGCTGCTGTGGTTTATAAACAAGTTGCGTGTCAGGCTCTGCACAAGCGCCCATCCTACCAATTTCCTCTACTTCCAAAGAGCCAAAGGGCACTGGAGTTTTCACGGTTCACTGAGTAGTTAAGAGGATAATCATTAACCTGCTGAGGACAGTCTTTCTTTTGTTAGGCTCTTTATCAGGTTATCTTGCTAGCATAACTGGAGAGGATCTAGGTGATGGGTGGGGGTGAGAGGAAGCCATGTTCTGCATAGCTTGTCTGTTCTCACAAAATCTCAGCTGTCCTCGGTGTGGGAGGCAGTAGCACAGAAGTAAGGTGCATTTTTGCTGCAATGTCAGGCCAGCCTGTTGCAGCTGGAGGTTTGGATTCATGTGGCTTTGATTGAGTTCCAGCCTAAAACTCCCCAACAGCTGCATTCAGATGTCCAGAGGTGTTTTTGCTATAGGAAACGGAAACCTTAGATATGTTTGTGGGTACAACTTACCATACAGGTCCTTTGCGCTCAGCTTGGAGGCTCCATCCGCTCTGCCCATGCTGCCACTGTAAAAGAAAGAAGGTGCAAATAAACCATCAGCTCCCAGATCTTTTTAACATCTGCTTTCACACTGCAGCTCTGCAGCTGTCCCGAGAGGGACCAGCCCTGCCCTCCTCCTCACATCCATCAGATGTGCGACTCCGAATTACGAGGCAAAGCATTTGCTTGTCTGACCGTGCTGGCGGCTCCCTCTGCAACCCTAGCTGTTATCCACACCGCAGGCACATGTCATTAAACCCAGCAGCTGGAAACAGGAGATAGAGGAGCCCAGCTAGAGCCTGTCCCCACTAGAGTTACCCTCACACACAGTTGTCCCCTGGAAGGACATTGCTTCTGGAGAGGCCAGACAGCAGCTCCCAGCGAGTGATAAGTGGGCTTGTCACTGGGAACAGTGAAGGTAAAGAGAGACCCCTCTGTGTGATATCTGAGTCCACCTGAACCTGAGGCAGTGTCAGTGCCAAGATTAAGATCCTTTATTAACCGACCTTTTTGAAGTCATAGAATTATAGCATAGTTGGGGTTGGAAGGGACCTTTTAAAGGTCATCTAGTCCAACCCTACCCTGCAATGAGCAGGGACATCTTCAACCAGATCAGGTTGCTCAGAGCCCTTGAAGGCAGGTGCTCAGAGCATGTCCCATGTGAAAATGTGGAAGGACATAAATTGTGTGTAAACACTTGAGTTTTGGGGTGTCAGATCTCTAAACACAGGTTACATCCTCTGTAGGGTCAGCTTCCCCGCCCCATGCCCAGGTTGCCCATAGGTGTGTGCAGCCAGGAGATAACAGTGTTTTCTCCAGCTCAGGCCTGGCAGGGAGGATCAAAGCGGGACCTCAGGGTTTTGGGTGCTGTGGTCAGGCTGTCCTGCACGGTGCAGTGAGCCAGTGGGTGGCCAGTGGCTACTTTCTGCTCTGTCACCATGGTCCCCTGAGGGCAGGCAGGTTCACAGTGCTCACACACCTACATCCTGCTCTCCAGAGACCAGGAACGTGCAGGAAGGAGGGAGAGAGCTGGTGTCTTTGGCTCCGTGGGGAAGCTGCCACGGGCTGCCATAGCCCCCACGCCGCAGGTGAGGAGGCTCCGGGTGTCCCTCTCCTCAATGCAGCATTACCATCACGCAGGGCACGTGAGGTGGGAGGCAGTGAAGCTGGCTATGGCCACAGCTTGTGGGGTGCCCAGGAAGGGTGAAACAAACACTGGGGACCTGGGGGGGCAGGTAGGACTGCTAGGAGCATCCCTCTGGCTGGTAGGAAGGAGTGGTGGTGCCAGCCACGAGATGGAGGAAGCCCACCACGGAGATCCTTACTTTGATGAGCCGGGGTTGCTGCTGAGGGATCCCTTGAGACTCATGTTGCTTCGCAGGACTGGCAACTGCAGCAGAAGCAGAAGAGACAGGGTTAGTGAATAGGAAGCATGCTATCAGATGATTTATCCATGTGCATGCTGCTCTCTCCACCTCTGATCTGGAGTCTCCAAGCAGCAGCGTGGGCAGATGAGAGCAGTCAGGTAAGCGCGATGGGCTGCTCTCTGCCCTGTGGCTCAGACACCTCTCACAGCTCTGACCTGGGCTGAAGATGACACACCCCAGGATGCCTTTCCGAAACCTATTTCCACCTCTCCCCTCTTGCCCATCCCCTCCAGGCACACCCCGACTCTGAGGTATTTCAGCATGTCTTTTTTCTGGCAAAGCAGCCCTGCCTGCAGTTTTGCAAGGGCTGGTGTGGCCTTTGCCTTTATGGTCTGTCAGAGGCCATTAGCAAGCATATGGATCCCTGTGTTAGTATCCTGAGTCATTTTGCATGCCAATAGTGCCATTATCTTTTGTTATGTGTCAACTTTAAGCTCTACTCCAGCTGTTAAAGTATCTTTACCAGGCTATTGCCTGCACAGAGAAAAGTGAGATAATTGTGAATGCTGCTATACTGGCAGCAGAAGGATAGAGAAAAATTTGCTGTGATGGCTGAGTGCTTGGTGAGAGGCAGACAGGCTCAGTTCACAGATTTTTTTCCTCCACTTTCAGATTAGAATTATAAATAATGTGAGAGAAGATGTGAGAGATCCAGGCACTGGTCTGAGATCAGAACTGCAAAGGGAGGTGGAAAAAATAGAAGGGAAAACAAGGTATAATAAAACCTCAGGGGCTGCTTTATATTGGCATCCAAGATATTTACCTCTGCTCCAGTGCATGAGTTGGAGGAAAACCAAGACAAAGTCTTCAAGGTTTTTTTTATTCACTTTTGAAAAGTTCAGGGGGCACCTGCCTGTGGGCTGGGTACTTGGCGCCTCTTTTTTGCTTTGTCTGGGTCAGACCCTCATTGTAAGGTTGCTCACCTCATTATAAGGTTGTCAGAATTCAAAAGTATGGCTTTAAAAATACTCGTAATTGGCCTGAAGGAAGAAATTCATCAGTGCCTTCAGTGGGATTTCCTGCGAGGGGACCTCTGAATGTGCTTGGCATGTGCTGGGAGGCCACTGTGACAGCCATCCCTGGCAGGCAGTGGAGCTGCTTCGCAAAGGTTTTTCTTAACTGAGTTTAGGCTAAAGTGTGTGTAATCCCCAGGGAATACTTTGGAGTCATCCCTGGCACCTGGGATTTCCCCTCTGGAGGCTGACTATCTCTACTGCAGGGCTGCGTGTATTGTTGGGAGAGCTGCCCTAGATTCTTTATGCATCTGGTTTTATTCCTCCTGTTGGAAACCCTCATATCTGGTGTTTTGCTCTGTGTGTTTCACCCTGAGGTGAGGGCAGATACAGAGTTTTCTCACTGATCTTAACAGAACTGCATGTCTGTCAGCAGGATGGATTTTGTGGAGACCCAGCTCTCCAGGTGAAGCCCACGCCTTGTATGCAGGCTGCACGATTGCATCCCCACCACGCACGTGTACAGACCGGCTGTGTGGAAGGACCCTGGCGTGGGTTGGGCTCAGCTGCACACCTTTCAGCCTGCTTTGTGTCGCAGTAGTACTCCTCAGCATCGACACGCTGTTAGAAATTACTCTGAAGTACATTTTGTAGCTAGTATATGAAATTCTTCCTTTTTCGTCTGTCTTTGTGGTTGATACTAAAGTCCATGCGCACACACACACGCAGATATAAATTCATATACGCATTAGAATAGAAACTTGGTGTTCTGCCAACCCCTGAGTGTAATGAAACCCGTCCCTGTGCCCAAGCTTGGGTACCTGTGAATTTTTCCTCTGTTAATAGCTGTCTGCTGGTTTCCTTTTACAGTCCTCAAACTGTTCCTATCTCCCAGATCTCTGTGTGCATTAGCATAAGATACCTAGAAAAGGGAACGCGCTCTAATAAACCCAGCCCTGGTCTGTTTACTTTAGACCATCCAATCGCTTTAGTCCTGTGGCTGATGATGATAGCCGGGAATGTTTCTGCATATTAATGTCATATTTCTGGCTCCCTTTCACTCACTGCCCCAGGGCTGTGTCCTTAATGGACTGAAATTCGGGTTACTCCAGCAGGTGAGTGGCACCGAGTTTGGCCCATGTTGTTCAGATCTTGCTCCTGGGTTCCAGCTGTGAAACAACAGGAGGAACCAGGGATGCAGCCAAGGTCACTCTACTTTTTGTTTCTCCTTCATGAGCTCTGTCCAAAAGACAAACTCTGGGGGATCTGCTCCTTCTTTTAGAGAAACCCATCAGGTCAAACTCTATGTGGCTGCCAGAGGAGCAGACCCCCGTGGCAGTGGCAGAGCTTGCTGTTCAGCTTTGTGGGCCAGCCGTAAAATGAGCCAACTCTTTATATTATAGTAGTTCATAAGACAGTACAGATGGGATAAGCTGGGCTCCCTGGAGGAAGGCAGGATAAGCTAACATGCACCTCCGGTAGTGGAAATGCCACTGGACCCTGTGGGTGTCAGAATGACTTACCAACACGCTGCCTGAAGTGTGTGGTGGGAACACCCACCCCCCCACGAAACACCCGAAGGGGTGGGTGCTGCTTGCAGTCCCATTTATACCCTGACACTCTTAGTGTCTTCTGCCTGGCCAAGCAGAAGCTGTAATGCATTAGCACTGCTGACATTTCAGTGGGGGGCTGATTATAAATTGCTCCTTCTGACACATGTCGGATCGAGCAATCCCTGGTCTGTCTCGGCGTTTGTAACGCAGTAAAGCCCAGGGTCCCCCCTCCCTTTGCCCAGCACCGTTGGAAGATTGTTCTCCCTTCTAGGGTGCCCGCATCCGAAACAGGGCATGAAACTGGAAGCAATGCAAGCACCTGCCAAGTCAGCAGGTACTTATCCTGCTAGGCTCCCTTCTTTTTATTTATTCATGCTATTTTCATTATTTAACCTTTGCCTAGTTCTTACTGCTGCTTTAAGGGCCATGTCTGTGCTCAAACTTGTGTTAATTGAAAGGAGGGTGTGGTGTGATGCTGGCCAAGTTAAACCAGGACAGAGCCTCATGCCACAGCTCTTAATTCAGTTTAAATTGCCTGATATTAATTGAATCCTGACTGGCAGACTGGTGGGGGCACATTTCAGAGGGGTTGAGGATTTTATAATGATTTTGCTAAATCAAGTGACAACCAGACTTGAATAAGATGAAGAAAGGGCTGAGACTACTTCACCTCTAATTGTGGATGGAGCCAAAGATAAGACGTGAGAGATGAGATGGGGTTATGTCTGAGCAGCTGGCTTTCCTCAGGTTTTCCCCTTCCTGGGGGTGCATCCTTAAGAGCTCCAACAGTCTGCAAGCTCTGACACACACATTGTCTTCTCCTCACTGTCATTTCAGCTGTGGCTCATGCTTCCCTGGTTAGAGGGTTCCTGATCTCCCTCTTGCCACCCAGGCAGGTGGGCATCCATAGGAAAGGAAGCAAAAGGCAATTTAGCCATGCGATGTGTGGCTGTGCAGGAGTTGTCTTTGACTCAGCCTTATCAAATCCAGTTTCGAGACCATGCACCCACTCTTTTCGTGGTGCAGGGCAGTGTTTCTCTATGGATCACCAAAAAATCCAGCTAAACCTTGTGTGTGAGCACGGTGTTTAATGGGCCAGGGGCTCCAGCATCTAAGCCAGCCTCAAATTCTGGACGCAGGGACATAGAGCAGCACAGCACTGCACTTCTGCTGGGGGGACTTACAGGGGAAGCTAAAGCCTGGCACTGTGACCTGTCCCAGGCCAGGAGATCTCATGTGCTGTAACAGAGAGCCTTAGGGAGGCCAGCAGAAGTCAATGCTAAAGGACATCGAGGGGGGTGAAGTCGTATTGTACTTTAAAGCAAAGGAAATCTCACTCCCTGACTTTCCGGACAGTCTTATCCTTGGAAGTCAAATATCCTCCCGAAGACACACGGAGCCATGAGAGGAGCCTGGCATTGTTGTCTGTGCTACATTTCTGTACTTTTAGAGCAAATGGAAGCAGGCCATACATTGTTTTGCTTTCTTTGAGTCTCTTTGAAGAGGGAGCTGCAGCATTTCAAGGGTGGAGAAGCTCTATGGGAGGGGAAAGAATAATAGCTCTCTTCTTTGTAGGCTCATCACTGCTATTGTTGTACATTATTATTAGCAATACTTCTCCCTTGTCTGCTGTGGTCATACGTTTCTGTTTTTACAGCAAATGAAAAGGGATTTTGAAAACTTCTTGACTTTTGGTGAAGATTGGATAACTTGAAAATGTGAAATACTAGTAGGGTTTTTTTAGGGGTATTAGTATTATAATCACTATTAATAACAATAGCAGCATCTAGTGTTTTGAGTATTTTTCATCATGAGTCTAAGAGTGTCTTTAAGAGTGCGATCAAGTAGAGTGAGCTGGAGAAGGTTTGTTGGTATCGGAGGACATTAGAATATATGATTGTAGCAGCAGAGAAATGCTGGGCAAAATGCAAAAGCTTTTGCTGGGACAACTATAGAAAAATATGGCAACCTCCCCCCAAACCTTAAATGCTGACAAGCCACCTAGGAGTAATTTTTTTCCTAGCATGCTCTAACCCATTTCTAACAAACCTTGTATTTGTTTCCATCAGTCATCCCATTGAAATAAGTCCAGTGTGACAGGACTTCTGAAATGCCCACAAGCTAGTATTGAAACATGTTTTCCTACCTGGAGCCACGGTACTGATACTGATGGTTTAACTGATGTGTCACAAAAAGGGGTCAGATAAGGTTTGATGTCCATAGCCTAAAGTGTTTCTTGACCAGGTTGGGCTACTTAGAATGATGCCAACATGCAAAGTGGTCCCTTATGCCCCGTCAGGTCAACCCAAAAGTGGTGAGGGAGAATGGTTTGTTTCATTCTGCAGTGCTGTGAGGTGCTCAGGGATGTGGCGAGGGAAGTCTCTGCACCAACTCGATTATGGGGCTTGGCCACTGGTGAAATACATATGATGGAAACACTGCCCGGGGGTCCTGCCT